CTTGGGAGGGTGCGCACTGAAAGTCTCCTTGGTCTTCCTGAAGATGGTCACTGGAATGAAGCAGGTAGAGATGCTAGAAGTGGACTTGAGACTTGGGGAACATAATTCCCAGGGTCAAGAAGGTATGGTCTATCTAGCAGGGGGTGCATGGGTCCCAGATGCAAAAAGGTATGGTCTATCTAGCAGGGGGTGCGTGGGACTGGGGGACTTGGCTTCTTGGACTCCTCACCTGGTGCTGACCAGCCTGTTGGATTTGCTGAAGCGTGGTGCGGGGGCAGGGGCTCCTCTGCCCACACTCACAGGAGGTACTGATGAGACAAAGGTAGGGGGCATGAAAGCATGGCCAGGAGCTGGGACTAGAAATGTCCTCTGCCCTCCCCACCATTTCCTTTTCTTGATTCTCCTGAGCTAACCGTCACCAAGCAAAGTTATTCATGCTCAGACACCTGCACGGACTCTGGTGTGATACCATCAGAGCGTCTGCCTAGCACTTCAGACTTATGTCATTTGCCTTCTGTTCATTTTTCTGCAGTGACAAGAGAATGGATGCCATTTATAACCAACTCCAATTATTTGTATTTGTATTTTTCCTATGATGTATTAAGGCACTGTAACTTTTAAAAACACTTCATCAGAGATGTCCTTAAAATGATTTATGTGATCTTATTTCTTTGTTATCTTCCTGACCTTGTCTCCTAGGATTTCCGCCCCCTTTGGTTTGACAGAGTGTGACCAGAGCTACAACTTTATGCCTCCCACCCAGGCACATTCACAACAGGTACAGCCAAGCTGACATGACTGCTCTGTGGATATTCTGCATCCTTTCTCTGTTGGTTTGCTCAGGCTTCCATGACAATAAAGTCGCAGATTGGGTAGTTCAGACAGCAGAAATTTATTTTTTCACAGCTCCAGAAGCTAGAAGTCCAAGATCAAGGTGTTAGCCCATTTGATTTCTCCTGAGGCCACTCTCCTTGGCTTGCAGACGGCTGACTTCTCCGTGTCCTCACATGGCCCTTCCTCTATACACACTCAACCCTGGTGTCTCTTCCTCTTCTTTAGAGGACCCAGGATCCTCTGTATTGGATCAGGGCTCACCCTAATGACTTTGTTTGAACATGATGGTCCCTTTAAAGACTCTGTCTCTAAATACAGTCACATTTCTGAGGTACTGGAGTTTAAGGCTTTAACAGGGCATAACCCAGCCCATAAGGACAATGTTTATTTATTTTTCTTTTCTTTTCTTTCTTACTTTCTTTCTTTCTTTCTTTCTTTCTTTCTTTTCTTTCTTTCTTTCAAGACAGAGTCTCACTGTTACCCCGGGTAGAGTGCTGTGATGTTGTAGCTCACAGCAACCTCAAACTCTTGGGCTCAAGAGATCCTCTTGCCTTAGCCTCCCAAATAGCTGGGACCACAAGGGGTCAGCCACAATGCCCAGCTAGTTTTTCTATTTTTAATAGAAACAGGGTCTCGCTCTTGCTTAGGCTGGTCTGGAACTTCTGAGCTCAATAAATCCACCCGCCTTGGCCTCCCAGAGTGCTAGGATTACAGGTTTGTTTAAAATAATGTCAGCAATTATGGTCAGGAGGGCTCATTCATTAAAAATGCCCCAAACTGAAGAGCAGATGGACTGGACACAAAGAAAGGTCATCACTTTAACTTCTTCACTCCCAGCTCATGTGACTGCTTTGTGGATATTCTGCATCCTTGAACCACATACTTTTATGTAGCCACAAATAAGGAGGGAGGTGCAAAGGCCACTGGCTCAGATAATCAAAGAGAGGGACTTTGGGGCTCATGTTCAGCACCTCCAAATCAAATAATATATATTCACATTTCTTTACAACTTTTCTCACAAGTTATATGACTTAATGTGCTCACTTTCCTGGGCTTCTGTAACACCGCAAACTTTTCAGCCCATTTTCAGCACCAAGTTCCATCGTCTGAAATCTGTTCCCGTCACTCTATCTACTCTCCCACAGTCACGAGTGTTACATGGCTTCAACTATAACTTTGATGCAATGCCCCCTCATCCAGGTCCCTAGTCTTGATGTACCTACTACACGTCACCCACTTGGACGAGACATGGAACCCTCACCCTCAACATGTCCAAAGCCAGGTTCATCTTCTTCTTCCCCCACTGCACTGTGTTTTATATTCCGTGTTATCACCATTGCTACCAGCCAGAAAGCTAAAAGCCAAATACACTTTCCCCTCCCTGAGTCTCACCTTGAAAAATTCACCGACACACACTGATTCTTTCTTTGTTACCGCTCACATTCTCCCTCCCTCTCCACATCCATGCTCTTGTTTCTGACCTCAGCATCCTCCTGTCTGTTCATCTTCTCTCTGTTCATTCCTTCTTAATATTTGAAAAAAAACATTAAATATACATGAGTTAATCATTCTGACTGTTAGTCACATTGGATTCATTCTTATTAAATCAAAAGACAAATTTAACTTCATAAAATTAAGAAAAACTTCATCTCCCAAAATTATTCCATTATCTTTTGAGGCAACTACTGCATTGAATTGTATTGTATTGAATTTCCATTGTAACCTTCAAATTATTTTTTTAACAATTACATGTATATATACAAGGTGTTCTATTTTAAATTGCACACAAACTATATGGACTGTATATACCCAGAACAAGCAACATATACTATTCTTGTTTTTAATTTACATAAATGGTGGTGTTATGTATACCTTAAATTTGGTTTTTAAATGTGTCAGTATAGTTTAAGATCTATGTGCATATCATGTTACGTACATATTTATATGTCTATCTAGAAAACTTGTTCACTCTTCTGAATCTTAACATATACAGACATCACAATTAATTATTCCTCTGCTGAATATTATTTAATTTCCCCCAATAAATATTATTATACATATTTCTTTGTGCACATATGCAAAATTTTTCTTGGGCATAGATCTGGAAGTATACTTTCAGGGTTGGTTTAAGCCTTAGGAAAATGAGTTTTGGGGGTGAAGATACTTGGGGATTGCTACTGGAAAAACAGGGTGACAACACCAGGTTGCTGCTCTTCCCGTGAGCTCTGGGTCTCCCTGGTGACCTCTCTGCTTCTCTCTGCTCAGCCACTATGTTTCCCTCCCTGCCTACTGGCTCCCCCAGCTGTCTGCAATTCTATTTCCTCTTCCTGTAGCTCTCCCAGGGTGATGGTGAGCCACTGCCCAGCCTCCGTTGCACCTTTCCTTTGGAGCTTCCAATGCCCCTGTTGACTCAATCTCTCTGCATTTGTTAATTTAAACTCTTTAGAATCATTGCTCTTCATCGTATCGTCCAGTTCGCCATGTCTGTTTTCCGATGAGCTTTATTGAAGGGCGTTGGCCTCCTGCCCCTGCCGTGAGTGAGGTGGGCTGGGGGTTGGGTGCTGCTGTGAGACAATCTTCATATGTGCAGGACCATGGGTTAGGAGGCAGCTCCCCTCAGAGCCCAGGCACACGTGGCCAGCACTCTGGGCTTGGTCTGTCCAATACACTCATGTCCTCTCAAAACTTAGCCAAAGCATCTCTTCCTCCAGGACTCCCCCCTGACCTCCCTGTGTAACTTAGACGACCTTTTATTTTTTTTTCATGGCCCCACACATTCCTCTATGATAATAGGAATGACATTCATCTGTTATTTCTGATAGATGTTAGTCACCTCGATGGCAGGAACTACAGCTCATTTTGCACAGCATCTAAAAACACACTAGGTGATTAATAAATGCAAGAAGCTGAGTGGATGAAACAGAGATTTTCAACCAGTGTCCTGTGACAGGATCTTAAAATCATTAGTCAAATTATTTTCAAAAAGTTCAAAGCACGGGAAATATATGTTTTTTTTTACTCTTTTTTTTTTTTGATCAACACAATTTAAATGTGCTGAGGAAGTTTAACTATAGGTTCAAATGTGCTGATTTAAAAAAGGGTTGAAAAACACTGGGATAAAAGATGCCCCCGGGATTGAAATACTCTGAGAATGCTTCACTGATGAATTAGAGCTTGTGCCGCCCCCTAATATTATTCTAATCTTACTGGACTCTTTGCTGTTGTTGTTGTTCAAGTTTATTACTGATGTTCTCCCTTAATTTCAGGCAGGCAGACCTCAATCCCATGGCTAACAGCATGCAGGCTTCTCCATCCCTTTCCTTGAGTTCTTTGCTCTATCCCCTTCATATCTGAACACCCCCGAGTCCACCAAACATTCCACATACACAATCTCAGAATTTCCCAGGTTTCTAGACTGTCTAAATTCTACCCAAGAGTGCAGGGCCCTCAAAGACCAGTGGAAAACAAAAGCTCAAGAGGGGATCACAGAGTTCTTGAAGCTGGGACAGTAAACTAAGGGTGTCGGAAAGAAAGGGGAGACAGGGAGCAGGCAGAGGGTTGGCAGTGGAGATGGTGGAGGGGTGGGGGTGGCCCTGGACACCGATCAGAACGATCAGATCCATCAGATTGCTGGAGGAGGGTAGTGACAAAGAATGGTGGGAGTGGGTGGTTACTTTGTTTGTCAGTGACATTACAGTATACATTTATTTTATAATTTTCACAAAGATTGCCCACCACTTTTGCCTTTCCTGAGGGAAAAGAAAAGTAGGCTTAACCCCTTTAAAAATCAAAAAAGAACTGCAGAGGGGAAAGGGAAAGAGGTCTGGAGTTGCTCTCAGGGACCCCGAGGCACCGGCTTCTCTCTCCCCAAAGCCAGGGTCAGTTTTGGAGAATGTGGAGAAGAAATGGCTGCCTTTTCCAGGGGCTATAGGTTGTAGTGGTCTCAGAGGCAAAAAGTAAAGGGGCATTTGTGGTAAGGTAGCCAAGGACACAGGGATCTTGCCAAGACCAATCATGATCCCAAAGAGTATGTTGGCAGAGTTTCAGAAGTTGAGGGAACTGGAGAGTAGGGTCTGTGTGTAACAAGGCAGGGTGACAAGAGACAGGAAGTGGTTGAGAAGCTTTGGTGGTGCTTCTTTCAGGCACATGCAGAGCTTTGGGGCACCATGTTCATTCTTGCCAATGGCTGGCTGGAGAGTGACAGCTGGGGAGTGTTAATGCCCATGTCCCAGAGGCTGGGAGCTGTGACACCTGAGGACCAGGATCTGGGTGGAGGCGACTGCAGCATTATAATAGGCGGGCATGGCTTTCCTCCTTGTCTTTCTCCTCCCTTAACCCACCCCAGGAGTAGCTGGATCTTGGCTCTGCTCCAGCCTGGAAGTTCCCATGGCCCAGGAACCAGGAGATGGAGAGGTTCTGAGACCCCGGGTCAGGACTTCAAGAGGTTTGCTTCCCCTCCTGTGTCCTGCCAGGGCCCTGTCCCCCTCACTGGAAACCCTCATCTAGCTCATCTTTTCATTCAGTTTTATTTTATTTTTGCCTATGTCAATACAGTGTACATTTATTTCATAATTTCGCAAAGAATTTCCCGCCACATTTGTCTCTTCTTAGGAAAAAAGTCTATTTTCATAACCATTTAAAAGCCAAAACCAAAGTTATAATGGGTGAGTTAATCTTGCTATACTTACTTCACAACCTAATTATGAAATTTCACAGTTAGAATTTACATTTCCTACAAGTGACTACAATTCAACTGTTACCCGGGGAAAATGGCATTTTATAAGGCAGCAAACTCTAGCAGAAAAACAGCCTTTGCATTTTTTTTTTTAAACACAGTTACTGGCTCAGATTTTTAGCTGCACAAAACCTTAATAGTTCTGCATACTTCCATCTACATATGGTTCATTCATCTCGTGCAGTGTTTTTCAACTTTTTAAAATCCCAACAGCACACTTGAACTTCCACAACACACTTACATTATGTTGATAAAAAAAAAAAAAGTATATACCTTCTGTGTTTTTAGCTTCTTTGGAAAAGAAATTAATTAATGATCTTTAAAAATTTTTGCCACACTCCTAAGATTCTCTCATGGCACACCAGTTGAAAATCACTGATCTAATGGCCACAGCTATGCCTTGTTCCAGGGCAAAATCACATCACCTCCCCAAGGTCATGCTGTGCCCGTGAACAACAGGCTGAAAGGAACTAGTCTACCACTATCTGAAATCCAAAACAGAGCCACATGATCCTGCGAATGCTCTCAGGACCTAGATTAGGGTTATGATGAAAGGAGTCCAAAGGATCTTAAGGCCCAGATTGGACAGGGAAGTTCTGGGGAATCAGGCTGTGCATGTCATGACTGGATGTCACCAATCTTGTCATTTTCTCTTCTGGAAATCACAACAGATCACTGGGGAATGGGGGCCCTTTGGGTTCTCTCTTTAGGAGATAGCTCTAGATCAGTCAGGTGAGGTGTGGCTCTGAGAGTCCCAGCCTTGCCCACCCTCAAAGGGAGGCAGGTGAGAATCACCAGTAACCTCAGCCTGCAAGTCTTCCCACCGAGAAGCCCAGCAGAAAGCAGCCACTCCTATACCCTGTATTCTCCAGTTGGTAGTAAACGACTTTGTCCCAGATTCAACTTATAAAGCAGTTAAATTCTGAGTTAGGAAAGCATACAGTCCTTGAAGCCCTGAATTTGTATCACAGGCAGGAAGCAGTTAAGCCCTGGGGCCTCATAAGACAATGCTGGAAGCCTGAGAGAGGTGGGGAAGGGCCCCCCAGGGAGGTGACACCACCTGACTGGTGGAATGTCCAAGCCCATTGTGTGAGACAAGAGTTCACAGCCTGTCAGGGCTCCACAGCGGTGGTGGAGCTGGTACAGATGGTTGTGGAGAACTCAGGGGCCATCTGGGTAGAGCACAGAGGCTTAATTTAACCTTTTGCCATTTGTGTGACAGCGTGTTGTTTTAAAAGACTCTGTGTGATGTCCTCCATGCATCCTCCGCCCTGTTGACTACTCTTGTTACTTTGACAGAGGTGTTGGTTAGCCCTTTTCTCTGACACCCTCTTCAGATCTTATTCTCTCCAAAGTGGTCCTAGAAATTAGAACTTTAGTAGGTAACTATAGCTAAACTGTTACTACAAATAAACTTATGAATGTGACTTTGTTTTCACTCAGAGGCATCTTCAAACTCATCCCTAGAGAAATGTCTAAGAAAGACTCCAGACCCAAAGTAAGCCAAAATGTTATATCCTTCCTGGGTCCAGGTCATGTCTATCAGGCATTTCCAAACAGCTCATGCATGACATTCAGAGTTCATTTTTAAATGTGAGCCAGCCAACGAAGAACTGTCCTTTGTGCCAAATGCACACAGCGATGGAAGCAATATGGTGTCTGTATTTTGCTTTTGAAGCTATAGGCTGAATTTCAGTTACTGTCTTCTATACCCCTAAATCCATGTGGTTTTCTAGTGGCCTCTCCTTAAACAATTATCAGGTATTAGCAGATGCGAGGTCATATCCACTACACCAACATCAAAATGGACCTGAGCACTGAGGTGGTTCCTCTACATCATTAAAGGATTGGTTTCCACCAATATTTTAGCATCATTTTATTTATTTAATTGCTGCATAACAAGCCACACCCAGATAGTTGTTCTGTTACACATGATGTTGGCTAGAGCACTGGGATGTCTGGAAAGTTCCAAGTATCCACTCATTAACCTGGCTGGATTCTGGTTAAGAGATCTTTTGATTCTCTTCCAGAAGATCTTGCCACTGGCTGATGGGGCTTCCTCACATCATGGCAGCAGGGAGTAAGCCAGTGAAAGGGCAGAAAGAGTTGGCTGCTGCTGGGTGTTGTATATGTCCTGACTCCTTTCTATTCTCATTGGGCTTAAACTTTGGAAACTCAAAAGATGAAATCAAATTAGCTTACAACTTAGGGCGGGGATGATCAGGTCTAGAGATAAAAGGGAGTATCAATTTAAGTTAATTAGTTGATATTTCAAAATAAAGGACATTCCAAGCCATCAGGTAGGCTGTGTCAGGGATCTTTTCTCTTCATCCATCTCTGATCACCCTCCACCTTAGCCATCCAGGCCCAGTGACCCTGCGCCCTGCATCCTCGAAGCTACTCCTGCTTCTTGTGTGGTGAGAGTGAGCCAAGGTGGGTGCATACAAGTACATCCAGGAGCTGTGGAAGAAGAAGCAGTCTGACGTGATGCACTTTCTTCTGAGGGTCTGCTGCTGGCAGTACCGCCAGCTCTCTGTGCTCCATAGGGCTCCCCGCCCCACCTGGCCAGATAAAGCATGCAGACTGGGATACAAGGCTAAGCAAGGTTATGTCATATACAGGATTCATGTGTGCCATGGACGTCGCAAACGCCCAGTTCCTAAGGATGCAACCTATGGCAAGACTTTGCATCATGGTGTTAACCAGCTGAAGTTTGCTCAAAGCCTTCAGTCTGTTGCTGAGGAGCAAGCTGGACGCCACTGTGGGGTTCTAAGTGTCCTGAATTCTTAATGGGTTGGTGAAGATTCAACATACAATTTTTTTGAGGTTATCCTCATTGATCCATTCCATAAAGCTATCAGAAGAAATCCTGACACCCAGTGGATCCCCAAACCAGTCCACAAGTACAGGGAGATGCGTGGGCTGACATCTGCAGGCTGGAAGAGCCGTGGCCTTGAAAAGGGCCATAAGTTCCACCACACTATTGGTGGTTCCCGCCGTGCAGCTTGGAGAAGACGCAATACTCTCCAGCTCCACCGTTACTGCTAATATAAGTAATGTTTGTAAAATTCATAACCTAATAAACAATTTAGGACAGCCCAAAAAAATGAAATAAAGGACATCCCGTTATGCTTACTTTAACACTACATAGATTTTGCATAATACCCTGTTTCATTGCTGTGCAGATTTTTGGCCCTTGATCTAAGCCTCTTAGCTTTCCATAATTACACCCAGCATTTAACACACACAGCAGGACTGAGTGATGTCTCTCTGCAATAATTAATTCTGAAATCTGTTCATTTAGGTAACACTGAACACTTGTTAAAAATAACAAGAATAGTATATTGCATTTTTATAAAGGAGTTGTCTCTATCTATCTGGTAGGCAGAATAATAAACCCTGCCCCCCAAAGATTTCCTAATTCCCAGAACCTGTGAATATGTTGCCTTATATGACAAAAGTGACTTTGTGGGTATGATTGAGGTGAAGCACCTGGAGACAGGGAGATTATCCTGGATTGCCTGGGTGGACTCAAAATAATAAATGTGTCCTCTTAAGTGGAGAACCTTTCCTTAGTGTGATTGGATAAAGAGATGTGACCATAGCAACAGGGTCCCAGAAAGATGCTCTGTGGCTGACTTTGAAAATGGAGAAAGAGGCCACAAGCAAAGGGATGCAGGAAGCCACTAGAAGTTGGAAAGTGCAAGGAAACAGATTTTACTCCTTGAGTCTCCAGAAAGAAAAGTAGCCCTGCAGGCACCTAGAACCTCATTTGTGGCTGACAGGGCCATTGGGTAATGCAGTACATTTGTGTTATTTGAAGCCACCAAATTTATACAATCTTCTGTCAATTTACTTCATGCTAATGGTCATTATTTCTATGTGGTAGCTTTTTAATAAAAATAACTTTTTTGGTACTTTTAAACCATTGCTTAGATTCTTCAAAAGGAGTGTGCATAATTTTTTTAAAACAATGAGTGAGTTCATGAAAAGAGTAGAGGAAGAGAGGAATAAAAACAAGAAAGAGAAAAAAGTGAGGTGAAGAAAACAGAAACAAAGAAAATTCTGGGTCACATCTCTCAGATCCTATGGCTCATTGGGCACAGGTTGACCAAACAAAACCAGCTGCAGTTAAAGAAGCTGGAAGTCACACCCTGCTGGTTGCTTTCTCTGTCTGTTCACATGCTTGCCTGTGGCTGCCATGTAATTAGTGTGGAATCTACCCCACGGAAAGGGCAGCTCAGCATGGGGGAGTTTCAATATAATTGGGGGCTTAAAATATCGACCCTGAATTTTAAAAATTGCTTTTGATGTTGTGAATTCTCACTTGATGACTGCTGATGTGTTTCTGAAGCTTTCTGTGTCCCTGGTATTGTATTTCCCTCCTCCACTTATTTTGGATAGGAGATGAGGCTGTTTGTGGCCTTTGCACGGCTCTCCCGAGCACTGGGATGGTGCCTTCAGCTTCTTGGCATTCCTCTGTCTTCTCCTCCCAGAAGCCTGAGTGGTCCTTCTCAACACATCTTGCTCTGAGTGATGCCAGAGTCCTTGCTGCTGTTCACCAAGCCCACTTGAGCCAGTGCCTGGCCTGCTCTGTTCCTCCATCACCTTGGGACCTGTTTATGCTGCAGCCATGCACAGAACCTGCTCCTGGATGTTCCATTGTCACTTGATGAATGTGCCTACCTCAGGGCCACGACACTTGCTTTTATTGCCACCTGCAAGAGCTCTGGGGTCTGCTCATTCATTCTTTTAGCTGAAATGTCTCTTCAAATGCCCCATTTTGAAAAGATCTCCCAGTGACTCTACATTAACAATCACTCTCTCTCCTGTCACTTACTTTATTTTTCTCTAAATAATTTATCTCCATATATATTCTCCATACATATAATGTCTACATTATTACACACACTCACACAGAGAATCACTCCATACAATGATGTGTTGGTCGACAACGGACCACATAGATGAAGGTGGTCCCATAAAATAATAATGGTTCTGAGAAATTACTGTCACCCAACAACGTTGCAATGATCCTGACCCTGTGTGCACTAATGTGTGTTCATTTCTAATAGAAAAGTTTAGAAAAGTAAACACAAAATTAAAGATGGAAAAAAGCTTATACATATATAAAGAAAGAAAATATTTTGGAAGAGCTGTACAAAGTGTCTGTGTTTTAAACTAAGCATTAGGATAAAAGAGTCAAAAGTTTAAAAAAATCAAAAAGTTTATAAAATAAAAAAGTTGAAGCTAAGGTTAATTTATTATATACGCACACATGCATTTATTTATTAATTTTCTCTACCCTAGAATTTAAGCTCCATGAGAGAAGAAACTATTTTTAACTGCTATATCTTTACGGCGACCCCTACGTGTTCAAAAGTCAGTGGATAGAACGTATTGTAATGAAGGTATGAATGGCAATAAAACTTAATGCTTCAGTTCAATGGCATCTACATATTTCCATATGTCTATGGAAAACAGTGTTTCTAAATATGAGCATCAGAGGATGCCTGCTTTAGAGTACCTTGAGTCTTCTTGAAAGGCATATTTCGGGGCAGGACACTGTCTGGAAGCCTGGGGTGGTCTCTGTAATCTGAATTTATAGTAAAGTCCTCTATTGATACAGTCATCAAAGCTTAAGAGCCAGTGATCTCTTGTGTCCTCTGAAAGAATGGAAAAAAGAGAAATGTGAATTATTGAGTTCCTTCTAAGAGTTTATTCCCTTTTTCTGAGAAAGATAGCGTGCAACATAGAATAACATAGGAAAAGTCACCAGAACCAAATAACCAAATAATATATAAATGAAACAAATCAGTGGTGATTGTGTTATGATCAGCCCTTTAAAAAACATTTTGTGTTTTTTTTTTAAACAGAGTCTCTGTTACCTGAGCTAGAGTGCAGTGGCATGATCATAGCTCATTGCAACCTCAAACTTCTGGGCTCAAGTGATCCTTGTCCCTCAGCCTCCTAAGTAACTTGGACTACAGACATGCACCACCACAACCAGATAAGTAACAAAGAAAATTTGTAGAGATGGGGGTTTCATTGTATTGCCCACGCTGGTCTTGAACTCCTGGCCTCAGGTGATCTCCCCACCTCAGCCAAAGTACTGGGATGACAGGCATGAGCTACCACGCCTGGCCTGATCAACCCCTTTTGTAAAAAATTCCAAGAGATTCCAAGTCTCCTGGGTTTACACCACCAAGGATATAATCGAGCAGTAAGGTTCCTTTCCTTCTGCGAAAAGTTCATTGTCTTTGGTTCTCTCCTATTTAATTTTATAAGGTTTTATCTAAAAGGCTTGGAGATTCTTACATGGACCTAACAATAAGAGACAGTCCGGACTGGATATGAGCTCAGTGAGGATGAGACATTTCCTCTGGGCAGTCTGAGACTGAGGACTGGATTTTCAAGTCACTCATGCTTATTTTTACCTAGTCATTCATGTTTCCTAAGACTCTATCAGATTACTATGATAATAGTAAACATTATCATCCTAATTGCTAACTTCTTGGAACATTCACTATGTGTCTACTTCTGTTCTGCCATGTATTAACCTTGTATACATCAATTAATTCAATCACCCAGCAAGCCATGGATGCAGATACTATCATTATTAGCCTCCATTTATATCTGAAAAACATGAGGCGCAGAGAGTCACTACATAGATGCTACAGTAAGAAACAAAATTAAGTCAATGCATTTACATAATGGGGAAAAAATTCCATAGAATGAGATCATTTTAAATTATTGTGGGTTCTAGGATAAAAAGGCTTGTGACAGGATAATTAGCATATTAAATATTTTATAGGACTTATAGACTAAGAAATGATGCATGGGTAAGAATGAGCTAAAGGAAAAGTGTGAAGGCATTCCAGGTAGAAAAATTCTCAACATGGTAGCCATGCAAAAATTGGCATCTGGACCCTTGTGTCAGAAGCCACCTGTGCCCATCGAGATTTAGGGTACCTAACGGTGGTATGCCTTGCTGGCTTGAGGTCTCACCTTGAACGCTGAGTCACACTGTTCAACATTGGGATCAACTGGCTTCCCTAATTCTCAAATTGCCAGGGTGCTGACCATGAAGTATAGGAATGAGATTTTAGTAAAGCTTGTAAAACCATATGTCATACACCAAATTAACTCAGGGTGGGGGCCGTGCATTCATTCCTGGGTCCTGGAGCAGGACTTGAAGTGTCAGAAATGCCTCCAAGTCTGTTAGCCAGAGAAGAAGAACAGACCTCAGAACCCAGCTCAGCAGGGCTGCAGATTGAAACGCCTCCTCTCCTTGTCAGCATTTTCATCCACCCTCAAGATGCAGAACCTCTTTCTTGCTAACTGCACTGTTCCTTTTCTCTCTTAATTTCATCTTCAATCTGAAACAAAGGGATGTCAGATCTTGTGATAACCAGCTCAAGTCACTACTCTGTGCTTTGTTCACGTGGAGAAAGCTGGGGAGAAGTTCACTGATGACTGACTTCAATCATTTCTCAGTTTAGACCCTTGCAAAAGAGTATGACAAATATCTAGATTGAGAAAGATTTTTGTTCTTTTATCACAAAGAGCAGCTTCTTCACTTCACACTTGGTAGGAAAAAAAATTTCCTTGGAACTAAAATCTCCCTGGAACACAGAAAAGGGAGCAAAAGTTGAGACAGAGATGGAGTGGGAGGGGATTCAGGATGAAAATGTGTGTGCCAGGAGAGGGAAAGGGTTGGATTAAATGTTATTGATAAAACTGGGCTCCCTATCTGGGGCTGAAGGAAGAAGGAATCTGACAAGCCTGTCTACTTGTGTAGGATTCTAAGGCCTGGTATACATAGGCAAGGAGTCTTTGCAAGGTGCATTCCATATCCTAAACCTGGTCGTACGTGATCATTGTCCTGGGAGATCTTTCCTCTCCTAGTCTATCAAAGTCAAAGGAAATACTTAGAGTCTGTAGTTCTTTTAGAGAAGAGGAGGATGCAGTAAACATTTTAGCTTTTTCATTTACATGAACTGTCACCCAAGTCACATAATTCAGCCCCCATGTAGGGGATGAGGTGACCAACTACCCAGGCCTTTGTTAACTATGTAATTCCCAGTCCTTTTTCCTCCCA